ATCACAACATTCTTCCAACAAAACTTAATCATAAATGAAAATGTCGTGACGATTGAATTTTCACCTTAGTATATTACACTTGACGAATACTCGAATACAAAGGGTGTCGGTAACGATTGAACCCATTGACTCATATGAATATTCGAAGATAATACACACTTAAGTTTTCAAAACTTCTAAGCGCCTTGACACTATTATCCGCCATGTGTCCAATCCTTCTCATAAGCGCACACGAAACCAAAGTCCGGGTTTCTTGAAGTGGCTACACTTCATGCTTACGTAGGTTAAATCTCTTATTTGTGTACCTGCATAATGCACTTTTTCAAAGATTCAATTAAGAAGTTTTGAACTTCATCCTCTTCTCTCATGCAGGATAACAAGCACATACCTCGGGATGACAAATTTTGTGCTTCAATTTCTGATAATAAGCTTTCCACATTGAATTCAGCCTCTAACGTTGTATTAGAGGGGAATTGGGTGTCCCATTACCAGAAATTATATGGACTTTAATCCATCCCTTTCACAGACTTAATCACCAAGTCACTAGTTAACCACTTCGTCAAATGATCAACCAAATTAATTCGAGTTTGGTCATACTGTCTAGACACAACACTATGAATGATCAGTTCACAGCTTTTATCGTTCCATACTCCCACATGACCGTACTTATCATTTTCACTTGACTATATACCTTAGCCAAATTAGCATTACTATCACAAAAGATAGTAATAGGTGAGATTGGTTTAGACCATAAATATACGTCATAACCCAAACCTCTCAACAATTATGTCTCTTCTCTAAGAAAAATCAAGACCACACAAACTTTGATTCCATAGTGAAACTTAGTGATGCAAGTTTGCTTTCTAGAGGCCCAAATTATGGCACCTCTCCCAAGCAAGAGGACCCATCTCAATGTTGAAGTATCACCTTTAACATGAGAAATCCAACTAACATCAACAAATTCTTTCCACAATTGATGGAAAGCCACTATAAGTCAATACAGCGTGCCTTTGACATATCCTAGTACACGCCTCATTTCATTTCAAATGATGAGAACTAGGATTCAACTCGTACCAACTTAATTGTTCTATCGCATATGCGATATCTAGCATCATGTAAGTCATGCATACATCTCCAGTTGTAAAACTGATTTCCAGTATTAACCATAAGTTCCATACTTGGATCCATTGGGGTCTTTAACTCTATACAATTCCTACTATGGAATTTATGCAAGTACCTTCTCATGCAGAAAAATTGAGAGGACTCTTCTTTGTCGTTCCGCTTGATTCAATACACAGAATCACAAATGCCTCCACCATGTCCCACATGGAGAATTGAAATAACAACTTTTTATCAAAGTTCACTTATCTTTTATTGGTCCCAAAGATAAGCATGTCATATACAGACAAATGTACGATGAATTCATTACCAGAATCATCATAAATTGTGTACACATTTTGTCCCCTTGGTTTAAAACTACTAGACAAAATCACTTATCTTTGATTGGTCCCAAAGATAAATATGTCATCTACATACAAACACGACTATCACCAGAATCATCAAACATTGTATATACAATTTTGTCTCCTTGGTTTAAAATAACATAAACCACTAGACAAAATCACACCACCAAACCACTAGACAAATCCAAGTTTATCTAAAACTTCGTAAATGTCGAATAGAGAATTAGACTAATTAACCATTGAGTATGTGACCTACCCAAAGGCAATTTTCATTCTTCTATTTCTCCATTTTACGAATCATTCTCCTTCTTCCTCATCTTCGAATCATCCCTCTTCCAAGTTACCTTCCGGATATGGAATACACCATGAGACTAGTACGAAGAACACCCATCTTCTACTGTCATCGATGAAAAACCCATCATCGAACATTCTCATAATTCCATAGACCGGAACCGTTTTCTTGTAAAGAGAGGTTCGAGCCATCGTACCGGAAAACTATTCTTTTCGATTGTTGGGACTTTTAGGGACGAGGGTATACGTACGATAGCCCGAGACCGGGTGACCAGGATTGTGATAGAGTCGTGAACAACGTTCACTTTCCGAAAAGAATATTTCCACCCTCAACAAGCCTAGGGTTACAGGAAATTTCTCCCGAGGATAAAACTATCACCACTTTAGCTTCCAGGCTCAAGAACACTAAAGCATACTTAGAAATTTTTGGAAGAAAAAAGAAGAATCTGTTTGATGGTATGTGGCATCATCCACCCCACCCATATATTTATAGGGGCCGAATCCATGCATTGTTTCATGAAAGGTTGCCTTTATCCATACGAAAGGTTGCCTCTATCCATATGAAGGGTTGTCCTTATCCATATGAAGGGTTGCCTTTATCCATAAGGTTATCCTTATCCATAAAATAATGCAACCGCCACTATGCCAAAGGGATGTGTCCCTTCACGGAATTAGAATATTGGTTCGGTCGGTCTAATCCCAAACCGGTTGGTCGGTCCAACCCAAAACCGGTTTGACTTGGTTAGTACGGTTCAACCAAATTTCCAACATTTCTTGTCCTCTTGTGTGTTAAATTTGGCCCTTTGGCTATTTTGATATTATTTTTTGGCTTTTTTGCTAGCCATTAAAGTGTGTCCTCAGATTGTTCAAACAGATGGAAAACTATGATACCATTTTAATAAGTGGTATTTGCCTATTTGGTTGACTTGGTGATTATCCTCTAGTTTGATTTTGTTGGTTTGCTGCGGTTAAAAACGTGCTCAAGATAGGGTGTATAATCGAATTTGAATCCTTCATTTAGAAAATGCAGATCTAAGGATGGAGAATTAAATGTCATTTTTATTTTCCCTAACTTTCTTAATCGGCTCGTATCTTTTTCGTTTTAACTCCGATTTTTTTTTTTTTTTGCACAGATGGAACGAGTTCATCGTGCTCTACAAAATGAGATCAATTTTAAATATTTTTTTAGGAAAAAAATTATGGCATCTCGGTACCAACTGCATACCATATGGTATCTTCTTCATTTTTAATTCATTTTTGAAAACGTTTGCACAAAAGGGACGAGTTCATCATGATCTAGTGAATCTACAACTTTCCGAGTGAACAAATTACATGACCAAAAAATAGCACACAATACCATATAATACCACCCTGGTACGGGGTGGTATTTTGTGGTACACAATGTTAAAATTCGTAAATGACAGTTAATATACTTTTACTATCATGTATTCAACCATCCTACAGTCTTGGCTTGTTCATACCACCATGGTACGCTTTTCAAACCATAGGTATGCTCTTATTTCAATACTAGTCAATACCATATAGTATAGACTGGTAAAAAATGACCCAATTTTTTTTGTTCGAAAAATATATCAAAGTGAATATCATTTTGAAGTGCACAATTAATTTGATCTAACTGTGCAAAAAAAAAAATTTGACTTAAAACGAGTAAAAACGGGAACGGATCACGTCAGTAACTTTATGGTGAGTAACCATGAGTAACCCGTCCACATAAGTATGACATCAGTATCTCTCTCTTCTTGAAAGCCTTTATTTTCCCCTCTTCAATCTTTGATGGACGATTTCTCACTCGTTTTAAGTCATTTTTTTTGCACAGTTAGATCAGATTAATTGTGCTCTTTAAAATGATATCCACTTTGATATATTTTTCTAACAAAAAAAATTGAGGCATTTTTTACCAGTCTATACTATATGGTATTGACTAGTATTGAAATAAGAACATACCTATGGTTTGAAAAGCGTACCATGGTGGTATGAACAAACCAAGACTGTAGGATGGTTGAATACATGATAGTAGAAGTATATTAACTGTCATTTACGACTTTAACATTGTGTACCACAAGATACCACCCCGTACCAGGATGGTATTGTGTGGTATTTTTTGGTAATGTAATTTGTTCACCCAGAAATTTGTAGATCCAATATATCATGATGAAGTCGTTCCTTATGTGCAAACGTTTTCAAAAAAGAATTAAAAGTGAAGAAGATACCATATGGTATGCAGTTGGTACCGAGAGACAAGAATTTTTTTTCTAAAAAAATATTGAAAATAGATCTCATTATGTAGATTGTAGAGCACAATGAACTTATTCCATCTGTGCAAAAAAATTAAAATTCGAGATAAAACGAAGAAGATATGAGCCGATTAAGAAAGCTAGGTAAAATAAAAATGACCTTTGATTCTCCATCCTTAGATCCGAATTTTCTAAATGAAGGGTCCAAATTTAGTTATTGATGGGTGCATAACCCATGATACATGAGTCGTTAAAAACTCAGCGAACCAGCCATACCAATTAATCAATATAGAAACTATATTGTTTTGCTTAATATAATGTGTCTATCACATGGTATGCCCTCATCCAAAATTAATGGATCACCTGGTCCATATTTATATAGTTGGCTCATGTATATATTTGTGAGACTCAAGTGCAAAAAGTTATAAATTCATAATAAAAATCAACTAAACAAATAAATTTTTTTTCAAATGCATAATACAACAAATCCATCACAAATAAAAAAGATTTTCAAAACTCAACCACATTTCCAAGTGAAACAAGCAAACAATGTGAGAAGGTCCAACCCAAAAACAGCCTTGCAAACTTGTCAAAAAAAAAAAACAGCCTTGCAAAACAAAGGGGTAGTTTGGTAAAGATAGCATTCTGTGTATTGCAAAAACCAGAAAACCTAATTCCACCAAACAAACAAAAAGAAAAGGTAAAATGGGGGTGAAATATTCTATCCAAGTCCAACGTCTCTTCGGCTCTTCCCCCAAACAAGGATATAACATAATCCATATTTACCCAAATTTCTCCACTTTTAGACATGTATATTTAATTAAATATATCCCTCAAAACGTTCCAAGAGCAGCAACAACGTCAACAACCCAGCAAACAACAATAATAATCATATTCATATTCAAACAATAATAATTAATAATCTGTAATCATGTTAGGGTTTAATTCCCCCGGAAAACTTGCAAAACGATCCCTGAAAAACTAACTGGCTGTCATTTTAATGCCTGTCACTCATTTCCTTTTTAGTTTTTCCATTTCCATAAACTTTGTCGTCTCACTTCTGTTATTCAGTTTCTGTGTCCGTCAAACAAACCCTCCTCAGGCCGCCCAATTTTCCGCCGTTGCTCCTCTGGTTTCCAGCCAATTGGCCAAATTCTTTCAACCCAACAAAAAGGAAAAAAATAGTTTCCAACTTCTTCTTCCTTTTTTTTTTTATTCCCACCCCATTTCCAGCTTCCTCGTCCTCTTCCTTCATCACTAATTTTCTTGTTTGTCCGCAGAGAAAACTCTCTCCCCCGCCCCCCCACTTCTTTCCCAAAGGGAAATTTCTCGTCTTTTCTTCTGCATTAGCTTCTGGGATTTCTCCATATTCGACTGAGTCCTCTTTTCTCTTCCCCCTCCACTTGAAAAAGTAGAGTCTTTCTGCTCATTTGAGTGATTTCTCTTCTGGGTTCTGCAGAAATCCTCGATTGCGAGATGTACCAGAAAAGGGAGCTCCCTTTAGATTTTCAGCACCACATCCCAATTTTGCGGCCCAGCATCCATTCAAGGAGGGCCAACATAACAGTGAAGTTCCAGGACCTTTATGGTTTCACCGTAGAAGGCAATGTCGACGATGCTAATGTGATGAATGAAGTGAGAGAGAAAGTGAGGGAGCAAGGGAGGGTTTGGTGGGAGTTGGAAGCTAGCAAAGGTGCTAATTGGTACTTGCAGCCCCAGGTTTTGTCGTTAGGTGATGGGATTGCTTTGAAAACTTCCCTCAAATTGTCTGCCATAACCAATTCAATTGCGCTCAAGAGGCTTATCAGGAAGGGAATCCCTCCTGTGCTGAGGCCTAAGGTTTGGTTCTCGCTATCTGGTGCTGCCAAGAAGAAGTCCACTGTGCCTAACAGCTATTACAATGAATTGCTTGTTGCTGTTGAAGGGAAGACTACTGCTGCAACTAGGCAGATTGATCATGTGAGTCTTTTGATTCTCTCTCTATCTGGTTGCTTCATTTCCAGCTACGGTTGACATTTTTTAATTTGATTTTGAATAATCCGGAATGTCCGGAGTTTAAGGATGGCCGTTTGGGGTGAATTTCTTTTATCGGTATCTCATATGATCCTATGCTTCTTCTTGTAAGATGATCCGTTTAAGACATGATCAATATGGTATTATGGTGGGTTAGTTTTTGTTTTGTGTGGGTGTTAATGGTGGATGCGATGCTAGAGATCAGAAGAGAGAGCTACCGGGGACGGATTTTGTCGTTGCTGGTTTATCTTCTCCTATGTCTGGGTTTGGACTACTGGCATTTGGTCAAGCTTTGGAATTATCTATATGCTATGATTAGTTAATGTGGCTCAAGCCTATTGTCTTCATCTTGACGTTGAGATCAATGTGTAGTTAGGAAAGTAGAACTCTCTTTAGCCCATCAATTAGGCTGCTTGCACAGTTCACTTACCGTTTGAATTAATCAGCTTTTTGGAGTTAATTGACTCCATCCAAGACTTTGACGATTGGAACTTGCAACTAGAGTGATATGGCCTGAATTCTCATGCATTTTGAGGTGTTTGTGATATGTCTATTGTTGGTTAACAGGACCTGCCGCGCACTTTTCCTGGCCACCCATGGCTGGACACTCCAGAAGGCCATGCTGCTCTTCGTCGTGTTCTCGTTGGATACTCCTTCCGGGATTCAGATGTTGGTTATTGCCAGGTGAGGTGTCCTTCATTCCTGAAGTAACCAGCATCTTAGTCAAGAACTGAATCTTTGAGTCGCTTCTTAGTTTGTGCTAACTGTCAATTGTCCTTGATGCAGGGTCTAAACTACGTAGCGGCTTTGTTGTTGCTCGTGATGAAAACCGAGGAAGATGCATTCTGGATGCTGGCTGTCCTCTTAGAAAACGTCTTGGTTAGTGACTGCTACACAAACAACTTGTCGGGGTGTCATGTTGAACAAAGAGTGTTCAAGGATTTGCTAGCCAAACAATGCCCAAGGTACTTACCTTCAATGCAAACACTTATGTTTCTTCGTAACCCTCGTGGTGCAATTGACACTAAGAAAAATAATGGGGGAAATGTGCAGGATAGCTGCTCACTTGGACTCATTGGAGTTTGATGTCTCACTCGTGGCTACCGAATGGTTCTTATGCCTCTTCTCCAAGAGCTTACCATCAGAGGTTCGGAACTTTTTAACAAATATTAATCGATTCTCGTGTCCCTTACTGGTTTTTAGGTTTCTCTAATAATCTCTGCTGTTCCACCAAAAAAATAGAAAAAACTCTGATGTCCTTTACTTTTATGCCAGACAACATTGCGAGTATGGGATGTGCTTTTCTATGAGGGAGCTAAAGTTTTGTTCCATGTAGCATTGGCCATATTCAAGGTGCTTTTCACTATCCTTTCCTCTCAGGTTTCTGTTTCGAACATCAATGGTTGTTAACACGAAAAGAAAAATCGTGTCTTGTGATTGCAGATGAAGGAAGAGGAGTTGCTCCTGACACACCATGTTGGCGATGTGATCAACATATTGCAGAGGACTACCCACCATCTCTTCGATCCAGATGAGCTACTCACAGTAAGTCACAGTTCCTTGACCATCAAGCGAGCAAGCTCCATGGCCTATTCATTTTCTGATCATTGAAATGCTCTTTGGCAGGTGGCGTTCGACAAGGTGGGTTCCATGACGACAAACACCATATCGAAACAACGGAAGAAACAAGAACCAGCAGTGATGGCAGAGCTAGACGAGAGACTGAGGAGACTAAACACACTAAAAATGGGTGACAAATAGCACGACGCCCCTTGCACTGTTGTAATATCTCGACTGTGTACCTTTTAACTGTTTGCATATATACATAGATATGAAGAGAGGAAGTGAAAGTCCTGGAAACGGACAGTTGATTGTTTGTGAAGAAAGTCTCAAACTTGTGTGCCCTTCTCTACTCTCTCTCTCTCTCTCTAAAAGGGAAGGAGGCCCATGGAAAAGGGGTGAAAGAGAGTTTCTGACTGCTGGTTTGGTTCATTTACCAGGATGGAAGTGGAGTGATGAAAGTTGTAAATTGGTGGTGGAGATTGTGAGAAATGGAGTTGAAAGAATCTTGGTTGGTGGTGTTAAAATTAGCTTTATTTACTCTGCCTAAGCCCCAATCCACTTTTATTCTTTTTATTATTATGCTGACAACAATGGCTAACTCTTATACCCTCTGACAGAGCATAGATTTCTCAGTTACATTTTCCTTGTATGTTTCAACTATATCTTCTTTGGTTACCTATGCTATGACCAACCAGAAGAGAAATGAAACAGAAGTTAATTAGATTCATTTGTGCTTGAGTTCGGACAGGCAACGGATAACATGTGATGCATCAGTAAGCTCTTTTCTAATATGACATTTTTGCAGCTTCACATTAACACTTTGCACGGTCCTTAAGAAGAGAGTTTATTGACATTTTGGTTAGTTTTACGCATCATATGTTTGCTCATGAAGAGTTCATCTCGATAGAGGCTTATATTCACTTGAGAAAAGTTCAGCTCCTTCCAGCTCTGAAGGTAAAAACACCTGGTGGTGGTGGCTGTGGCATCGGCGGCCGCGACAGCGTCGGCGGGGGAGGTAGAACCCTCTGTAGCTCCGGCGGCGCAATGGAGAATGCTGGAGGATGTTGATAAAGCGGCTGTGGCCAATTCCCCATCGGAGGGCGGGGGTAGAAGGTGAAATTAGCGGAACTGTACGAATTGCTCCCGTATATCATCGGCGGTGGTGGCGGAAGCGGTGGAGGAGGAGGAAGATTAACATAAACCTGATCCATGGGACAATCCCCGGTTTGTGTCGGAGACCAAATTATGCCCATATCTGTGTCCTCATCTACCGGTGGGGCTGTAGCCTCATCATCGGCGGAACACTCTCCGGTCTCTTCCGACGATGATTTACCGCTGTTTCCTTCAGGAATGCCATCGGCGGCGGTGGCAGGGGCGGCATCAAGAGTATCAGAACCGAGGTGTAGCGGTAGATGTTGAAGCCAACTACTGCCCTGGTTTTGGTTGACTTGGTCTTCCGAGGCAACATCCTTGATGTGGTTAGATTGCCGGGCGATTTTTAAGTGTTCGGATGTGAAGTCGGAGCGACTCCAGAGAGATAAAGGAGGTGCACTTTTGTTCCAATCTTCCAGCTGCTTGTTGTTTATGTCCACTGAACCAGGGAGATAGAATGCCTTGCAGAAAAAGGAAAAGAAAGGGAATAAGGAGAAATGCAAAAGGGACAAGGACAACTCAGTTAGCATGAATGATTTCTGCATCACGGTGTTTGTTGATGTCGTTGGATTAGATGCTCAATTGTCAAACACATATAATATTTGCAAGCCAACGATGTTAACATCAATGTAGTCAAAAGCGAGTTTCTACGTAGAAACGTTTTGGTAATCTGGAAGCGTAAAATCGTAAGTTTTTAAACTTTAAAGCGGAGTTTTTAACTACATAAGCTATAAAAACTGAGATTTTGTGTGAAAGCGTTTTAGTGACCTAAAAACATAAAGTTATAAGTTTTTAAGTTTAAAAGCGCGATTTTGACTACATTGGTTAACGACGTTTAGAGCTGTCAACATCTTACCGAAATTGATAGGAGGGAAAAGCTGATGGGGAAACTAACCTTGCCAGATAGTAGTCTAGCATCTTCCCAGATTAAATCGTAAGGACCCACAGCATCAACTCTGGAAAAAGGCAACAATATATATATCAGAGATGATAGTGTTACTCAAATGGAAGAAATGATAAGGATCAAGTAAGTTAGACCTTTTTGTCTCCTTTGGAACGATGAGAATGAGAAGCTTTGGTTTGAATTTGAGAGCTTGTCTAATGAAAGCATTGGCTAGAGCTGCTTTGAATCCAAAGGGTGGGTTTAGTCCCATAATCTGAATATGAGAGGGAGCTAATCAATTTCTGACGGTTTAGCGAGAGCTTAATTACCGTGTCAATTTTCATTATCGGAAACGTGCAAATATAGACATACATACCAAACTTGAACCATCTGGTAATTCACTTGGTTTGACATGCATCCAATTCCTCTTCTCAAAGCAGAAGTCATTCTACCGAACAAAAGAATTTTAGCTCTATCTCCCAACATGGCCAAGTGTTGCCATTTTTTAGTTTGCAAATCAAAGATAGAGTGTAGTGTAGTACCTTAGTCTGGATGAGGTCAAAGTTTTTGAAAAGACACGACTTTCTAGTCTCTTCCAGCTTTTTTTTCATCAACAGACTGAAATCGTTAGATCCGCAGCAGAAGTCCACGATCTGTTTCGAACATTAAGAGAAGAGGATCACGGGAAGTGGGTCATCCCACCTTCATTAGTGGCTGACATGATTGGGAGAAAAATGACAGACAAAGGTTGAAGAATGGAGATGGTTCTCACCATGTCGCCATTACGAACATAGAAATGGAGCCGGTTAACTATCTCCTGAAGCTTTTCTAGCTTGGTAAAGTGGCGGCCAAAAGTAGTGTATCGCATCCCATGTAAGAAAGGTTGAAGATAGCCAGTCAACCTTGGCTACATGACCATAATAGATTGTAAGAGTCATATAATCAGCTTCCCGACTCAAAAATACCAAGAACAACACACTACAAGTTTTTAAAATTCCATAGAGTTTAGTTAGTTACCCGCCATTTGTACAAGGTAGTTAAGGTCTCTCGTGGGCACACCGCCAGTGCATCATCGTTGCTACCGCCATTTTCGAGCTTCTCTTTAGCAAGACGCACAGCCTGGACATAGTTCTCTATTCGTCCTAGAGTAATGGACTTGACAAACACACTGGTGCGGCCATGATGCCCAGCTTCGCAAGCCCTCTCCAGGATTTCCTTCTTCTGTTGCTCGAATTTCTCGGTGATGTCTTCCCTCAGCTTCAAAAATCTGTATGAAACGCGAGAAGATGATGTTAAGTGTAGTAGTTAGAGTTATCCTTATGATAACTGCAACAATGATGTACATTACCGTCGTTTGAATTGAGCTTCATCGATAGATGGGAGGTCGGTCAGGCTTTTTAAGTAAGATTCACTCGGAGGAGGGTCCTTCTGGATGGGAGTTTGTGGTGGTTTAGAAGGGCATTTCGGCGGCAGAGGGAATATACTGGTTTTAGTAGTAGCCCCTGAGGATGACGAGCTGATGAAGGCAGTAGAGCCGAACGTGGCTGCTGGTTTAGTCACTAATGGCACGGTAAAGGCAGAGCCAAATGCCGGTTTCTTGTCTCCCGGGGGTATGTCGATGAGCATTTTCGTTTTGCCTCCTTCTGTTCTCATTGCCTTGTTTGTGGCGGAACCAAGATGTTGTTGTTGTTGATGTTGTGGTGGCTTCTCCAGACATCTCTTCTCTATCCTGTTCGTGGAGTTGTTGATCTTGAAGACATGATGCGACTTCATGGATTCTTGCCCTGGTGCGGCAACCTTTGGTTTGGCGTCTGCTACAAGCTCTTGAATTTGTTTTGTTTTCTGTCGGGGAACACGATCGGGGAAAACCAGGTGGTCTCTAGCAGGAGTTGCGAGTCGTATATCGATTGCATGATCCCTGGTTAGCGACAATAGTTGTTAATTGGTGGATGAATAAGGAAATCTCATGCTTACGTGAGAGTAAAAATAGCAGGCAGAAAACTTACATGCAGTATATAAGAATCCTACCGTGGTGCAACAGACCTTCCCAAGCTCGTGCTACATTGACTCCGTCGGAGTCGAACTTGATGCCACTGAAGATAGGAATCAAAGATATAGCAAAAATTCTACCTAAGCAGCAAATGTCAGATGTGGAACCCAAAAGAAGGAGGTCTACCTGGGGAGACATTTTCTGTGGTAAGATTTCGGGCAACGTCTACATATGGCAAACTTGGTCTCGTCAAAACTCATATCTTCTACCTTCTTACAGTTATTGCACTTGTGAGCCGGGCATATGAATGATTCTCCGACTGAGATTCTCCAACGAAGGTCTGCCGCTGTCATTTTATCGCGCGGGTAAAGCAAGCTTGAAACGCAGTCCGCGTGGTAGAAGTGGCCACAGGAAGCTGTAGCACATTGGTAGACCTGTAAAGCACAGAGGGGAAGAGTTAGTATATCAAGGACATTGAAACATCAGAAAACATAGCTTCAAATGTGGCTTCAGGACATGATATACAAGAAGTTAACTGAATGAAAGAGGTTGGGTCTAAACTAGGCACCATACCTCTTGATTAGGAGATTTAGCAGAAGAACCCAATCTGCCACAGCCAAAACACTGATGCTGCTGATATTGGCAATTCTTGCACATGAAGTCTTGTATTGCCTGTATAAGGAACAAATATTTTCCATAATAATAGCTCTCACTTCTCGGAGTATCATAACTAAGGAAAGGCTGGCCGATTTTCAGCTTACTGCAACATCTTCCTTCTTACTAAAGCCAAGAGATACACATTCAGTGCGCTCTCCGTCCGTCGGAGTAGGATGAAATGATCTCATACACACTCCATTGCAACTGCATATAAGATTATGAGCGGGTTGTTTAGCTTGTCTGATGATCACGTACACCTCTGTAATCGTGTTGATCGTGTAACTTAGCTAATGATCAGACAGAAACACATACCACAACAAGTTACCACCATCATCGCAAATCGCACATACAGTGTCAAAGTAGCTTTCGTCTTCCTCCTCCTCTTCCCCATCGTCTTCTTGAACTCCTTCGACAACGCTGTCATTGTCGGTATAGTCAAATAGCTCGTCGTCGGCTTGAGATTCCTGTTGCACCTCCTTGAAACAAACCCAAAAGTTAATAGAAGCTCCATAAGTAGGAAAACAGGAAACAGAAAGGAAAAAAGTGACCCAAACTGCAAATTTAGTAAACACTTTCACCAGTCACCTTGTTGACATTTGCTGCACTTAGAGGGCTTTTAATGAACAAGAGAGAACACTGTCAATCACAACAAGAATCTTTGTTAACAAGCTATTAAGCGTGCTGAATTTTTCACATTCAAACAACAAAATTTGGTGATAAAGGCAATTCAAATAACAAAGATAAGAACCTTAGAGTTTGCCAAGTCCTTGTTCCTCTTTTTTGCTTCCCTGATCAATGGTGCATGATCCAGCAGATGCTTGGTGCAAGGTAGAACCTCCACCGAGCTCAAGAAAATAAAACAGAGGATCAGTTCAACATACCCAAAGCTTGCTTGAATTGTTAGCCTCATCTACAAGTAAACATTTTTCATGTCTAGAACCGAACTATAACGGTATAAAACTGCACTAAAAATAAAAGAAAAGTAAGTACCAAAGCTGAATAAGAAAGGCTCTTCGTTGGACTCGTTCCAACCTAATTTCAATTTGGCCCGTGATTCTTTTTTTTTTTTTTTTCTTTTTTTTTAAGGGAGTCTACATAATAGAAAAATCTTGAAACTTCATAATAGAAAAATCTAATTAAACTACATTACATTTAATTCGGTCCAATTTAATTCAATTATGTTTAACCCTGCCATTGGATATGAAATATCACCAAGTAGAGGAGGTATAGAAGGAAAAAAAACACATTCGATCCGAATAAGTAATTACCAACCTGAAGGAATCAACGAAACGGTTCCAAGTGTAATTATCTCCATTCTTGTTGTTGAAATGAAGCCAATGAATGGTGACCAACAAACTGCTGATTATGGGCTCGTAACTCTTCTTCGGCTTCTGCAGAATGATCCAGTTCCTGTCCTTGGAGAGTACGTAGATCGTCGGAATCTCATCGGAGAGGTCGAACTTCCACGCTACCGCCCGTTTGTACACTTTCTGTCCTCCGTCGCAGGTCCCCAGCATAAACACCTGCAATCCCGAGGAGCTTCCAAGGAGGCACTCATCGCCCTCTTCGTAGTCGTCGTGGTCGCTCCACAGCACCGGCAGCACCGAGAAGGGAACGGACTTGTCGTCGGAGTCCAAGAAGGAATAGTTGGTGATGAAGTCCGGCAGGATTTCACCTTCTTCGTCTGACAGCGCCATGAGAATTGCGAAGAGTTTCCCGCGGCGAAATTCTGCAGTGAAAGCATAATTTAATCAACGACATATTCACCTAAATCTTGTGATTCGAACTTCACACTGTTTCAATGCCTAGCTTTCCCCTCGAAACGTCGTTTTTGTGAGAGACTGAAATTCTGCGGAATCAAAATCATTTTTGCTGCTTGGATTCCGAGAAAACGAACGAGAAAGCGTGCTTCCTAAACTTCAATGTCTGTGAACAGAGGAACGGTTTTCTCGGTAGTCAAAAAAACAAAAACAAAATGTTGGGAGAGGGGAAACAAGAAAATGCAGAGGAGAGCGAGAAATTTAAATCATCAGTAATCAGATTTCTGTTTCCGGTGTCCGTACCTTTTCCTTTCAAACTTTCTCGCTAACCAAACAGAAGAAGAAGAAAAAAGGCAAAGTGGTGAAGGTCAAAGGGAATGATGAAAATGTTAGTCTCTCAGTCAACACAATTACTAGATAGCTCACTACTGTTTAACCTACGCCGGTCGCAGCTTCGCCGTTCAAACAAAACTCCGACAGTCCGATCAAATTTTTTCCCACATTTGCTCGGCATCCAAGCACGAAATGAAGCAAAACGACAAAGAAGAAGATCGCCGAAAAGGAACAGGGAAAGAAAATAGAACAGTACAAAGACGAAGAACACCGTGCTTCTCAATCAATCACAATGCGTGGGAGGGGAGAGCGGTGTAGGATTTCCGCAGCGATCGAAGCTCCGGGGGGAGGGAAACCCTAGAAATGGCGTAGCATTTTGGTAAAAAGGAAATGTGGTTGGAGACGGTGAGGGGGAGCGAGTGGGTTTCTATTTTGCTGGAAATTGACAGAGAGCTCCGACGACCCGCTGCAGGAAATTTGTGTGTAAATATGGAAAGAAATGAGATTCTTTGAAGCGACGTGTTACTGTTTCTATTTCATTTCCCATTTCTTTTTCATTTCCGAATTTTGGGGGCAGTAGTGCTGACGTGACGTGGGGGAGTGGAGTGGAGCGGAGGGGAAACAGGGGCGTGTTGAGATGTGGGCAGGAGTATTTTAGCATTGCTGTACCGTTTGATCTGGCCCATAGTTAGTAAAATACGGTATGGAAAAATTATTTATAAAATACATACGGGTATTTACTTTATCTAAACTAATGTTAGGTTTAATAGTACGTTAATAATCATAAATATATATAATATATTAATTTAATAAATAATAAATAATAGTAAATTTAACAATTTAATTCATATAATACGGATATTAAAGGTATTATATGGATTTTATACGTGTTTAGTACGGGATTCATCAAATGAATGGGGGAATGAAACGACTTGACAATAATATAAATACGAATATGAAAGTTTTAAATGGATAAAATACGTACGAATACATATACGTGTATTAAACAGAGTATTTACTAGCTAGACTCTAGGCCAAGGAGCATAGCATAGGTAGGATCAAGGATGCACCATACAGGGTGGGCTGTATTGTATCTGATGCGGCTGGATAGTAGTGGTCAAGTTATAGGTTAAATGATGGGGTGAGATGGCATTGTTATTCCTAAAGAGAGGTTGGAAAAATAAAAAATGACATTCCTATTATTTATAGGCTTTTAAGGTGATTGATTTGTGTTGCATTTAATAAATTTGTCTGGATTAAAATTTCATATCAATTACTTTTTTTTTTCAGTGCAATGTTATTTCAAAAAAGGGATGTAATTAATATGAGTTCAGAGTACAAGTGCAATGGTAGTTGTTCAGTACAATGGTAGTTCAAAAAAGGAATGTAATTAATATGAGTTTTTAATTCACAAAGATTATTAAATGCAACACTAACTTAATACAAAAAATAACTATAATTAATATGGGTGTCATTTTTTCAACCTCATAGAGGGGTAAGTTTGAGTAAAGGTTACAATGTCACTTTGGGTCTTGATGGATAATAGGTTAAATATGTTCGGATAGTGCTAATCACTAAATCATGTCACTTTGTCTTACAAGTTCGTTTTAATGGGGAAGGGATTCTATCAATAACCTACTGGTCAATAAACATGCATAATCCAACCAGAATCACCTACATCAGCACCTCTCGATGAAAAGTTTTTAATCTTTTCACCTTTAATATTTAACGGACGATTATTCTCTCGTTTTAAGTTGGAATTTAAATTTTTTTGCACAGATAAATCAGATCAATTGTACTCTTCAAAATGATATTCATTTTGATATATTTTTAAAGCAAAAAAAATAGAGGCATTTTCCCCAATCTATACCATTGTGGTATTGATTGGTATTAAAATTAGAACATACCATATGGTATGAAAGCGTATCATGGTAGTATAATATACCAAGACTATAGGATGGTTGAATACATAATACTGTAATAGTAGAAGTATACTAACTGTCATTTACGACTTTCAACATTGTGTGCCACAAGATACCACCCCCCATACCAGTGTGGTATTTGTTGGTCCTGTATTTTTCACACCCAAAATTTTTGGATCCAATAAATCATGATGAACTCATTCCTTCTATGCAAAAAGTTTCTAAAATGACTAAAAAACAAAGGAGATACCATATGGTATGGAGTTGGTAACGAGAGGTATGAAAAAAAATGTCTCAAAAAATATTGAAAATGCATCTCATTTTGTAGAGCACAATGAACTTGTTCCATCGACAATCCGAGTTAGAACAAAGAAGATAAGAGCCGATTAAGAAATCTAGGTTAAATAAAATGCATTTAACTCTCAACACTAAGATCTGGATTTTCTAGGCTTATTTAAAAATAAAGGTCCCGATTTAGTTATGAACCTTAATTTGAGCCGTTTTAATGGTTAAATGAGTAAATGTGATCATATGGATAAATTAAGTTGCAATACCATTTGAACCATAATCGTAACACGATTCGAAAAAAGAGAGGTTAAAGTGGAAGAGTGCAAGTAAATAGCTTCAATTATGTGATTAATAGAGTTATATAATTTACGAAGTAAAAACTCATACTCTTCAATGGCTATGTTTGTCTCAGACTCTTAAAAGTGCTTTTTCGACTTCAAAAGTTAAAGCAGGGCAAATACCTTTAAAAACTCGGCTTTTGAAAAACTGAAAAAATGTTTTTGTATAACATAAAAGCAGAAGCTCCGATTTGGAAAATACAAAGATTATTCTTACCATATTTCAATTTTATTGCAGAAAATGTAATTTTCTTTCATTAATATCATTTTAAAAATAAAATAAATTATAATAATATAATATTTAAGACAAAAGAAATCTAACAATGTCCATTTTGACAACTTTTTATTGTTTTGAATTTTTATTCATATTTTATGTTATAAATCCTTTATAGACATTTTACATAGCCTATGTTTGGCCCGACTTTTAAAAGTGTTTTTCGACTTCAAAAGCTGAAGCAGAGCCAAACACCTCTAAAAGTTTAGCTTTTGAAAAGTGTTTCTCTAAAAACTCCAGCTAGAAGCTGCTTCTGCAAAATCTACAGTAGGGCCAAACTAGTTCAATAACAACTATCACGTCCAAGCTTCGAGAAATTATAAATTTTTTTGAAGTGGGTTTGTTTCTTGTTTGGATTCTACCATTTTGTACGATTGTTTTGATGCATGTACTTTCTAGAAGATTTTTTTATATATTTGTTTTTAATCACATACAACACATGATTTTTTCTTTGATGTGGTAGTTCATATCATTCAAATGAAAGATACTACAATCTATCTGTTCACTTCCCATTTTGTTTCTATGATTTTGGCAACAAAAAATGAATTTTGAAGAAATGTAAGCTATCGTTTTCTGATAAACAAACAATTCCTGAAAACATGAAACTGAATAGGATTTTTTTTGTGAATCTGTAAATTGTACTTTCTTTAAAACCTAAATTGGAATGAATTTTTTTTTACTTGAAATACAAAGGAACTCATTTTCAACTGTAAATTTTGATCGGAGGTTATGTTCATCTTCCTCACCGTCATGAGCACCACTAAGCGTTCACACACCTTGTCGGAATCGCAAAACAAAACACTTTTGCTAAGGACAAGCTCACCATTACGCACTCCGTCTTTGCTGAGAAAGTGTAATCCTTCAAAATTGCCAACGTGGAGGATAATTCTCTACCTACAATTTTGTGTTCTCGATCTTGCTATCGATACTTTCATCTAGAGGACGACAACATATCGATTATGTTGGCGGTATAGATAAATCCCGACGAAGATCAATTGGAGGGTGTAGAGATTCCGGGAGGGGAGTAGAGGATCAAGAGGGAAGAGTGAAGGTCTAGGGGTTTTGGAGAGGAGGGAGCAGGGGCGGACCTAGGTTAGGCCGACCCTTGTCAATTGACAAACTTTGTTCTAATTTTGAGACAAATATTTTTTGTAAATTTTATTTTAATGATGGTAGTATTCGATCTCAAAATTATTTGACAACCCTTGATGATTTTATTTTTTTGTTGAATACCCTTGATGTAATTTCTGGATCCGCCACTGATAAGGAGCCATAGATGGGTTGAGATTTGTGTGATGGTAATTGGCAGGGGAGTGTCTTGGTTCTCCGTCGACGTGGGATAGAGAGATGAGGGTGCATTGGATATTGATGGGTTTTGGGTAAGTGGGTTGGGTTTTTATTAGTGTTAAACAAATGAGTTATCATTATTTTGTTGACATGACATATGTACTTGGCAAAATAAGTAACTTTTAATTCGTAGTGTTAGTGTTATGGATGAAAAAATGAAATGAAGCTAGAAAAACGAACATAGGCTATATCCAATGCACAATTTCCACTGGTATAACTTCCCTAATTATCAAAGTTTAATGGTATATACCAATTAACCCAATTGAAGCAAACTCTTCCCAGTTGCTTAAAGGGATTGTTTGGATGAGACTTTTCTTAAATGAGTCATTTGAGCTCAAATGTGCTATTTTCAAAACCAAACCTTTTTTATATAAGACATTTTGAATTAACGAGACATTATGCTCAAAGCCATGTTAGTTTAGAGAATTTAAAATGAGATACTTTGGTTAAAATTACAAATTTTGGCCCAACTCACTTCTCTTTTCTCTTTTGCCATCTCTAGTCATGAACCCTTATTCAGTCACCAAATCTCCCACCGCGTTGGCAAGGACAACGATATCAAAACCATCTCCTTAGTGGCGGAGCCAGAAAATTGGCTAAGAGGGTGTCTTTTCCATATAAGAAAAAAGTCAACTATAAACGAAAAAAGTTAATAACATAATATCCAAGATTCGTACAATTACATAATAACAGTAATATTTACCTCACCTACAACGAATCGCGACAAGATTTCATATTCTCTTAAAGAATTGCAGAACGCATTGCGAAGAGTCGAATACTCACCAGCGGAATTTAGTGGGTGGCGGTAGCGAAGCTCCGACAAAATATTGGTCGGACATGGGGACAAGGAGCTTGGATGAGGAGACTTGTTACAGCGCTGCAGTGGGATTGCTTTTAAGGGGAGAGCTCTCATCTCTCGTTTCTCGCTATGGTTGTCTATCAGTGGGATAGTGGTGGGATGCAAAATTTATTTAGTTGTTGGTATTAGGAAAGACTAGATTATAAATAGAGTCGGAGAGGATTTATAACACAAATGTTGCTTAGCTGAGATGGGAATGTAGTCTATATGTCAATGCACTGTCGCTTGTTTGAATCACAAGTTGCCAATATATATTGGGGGATTTTTTTCCAATTGCCAAGGGGGCTGCACGCACCCCCAGGTACTGCATCTCCTATACCCCCTCCTTTATCAGAGCCACCCAACGTTTCCTTCTACAGATGTGAAATTGTCTAGCGATAATGGAGTTTTGTTTGGGTTATAGTGGTGGAGAGATTTTTAGTTGCACTTTCTAACTCATCTTGTTTTTTCATCTCGTTCAGAAGAAATCCCCACTCGCAGACTTCCTTCTCTCTTTTCTTTCCTTCGACGAGAGCTCCAAAAGACAGTTGCATGAACATTGGCGTAGAAGATTCCTTCTTCCTCTTTCTGCCATTGTCGAGCCTTTGTTAGGAGAGGTGGCTCTAAGATTGGTCGGAGCAGTCAACGGTAGATTGGGGTCTAAGCTTGGTCGGATTTCAGATAGAGAAGTTTGTCGGTGGTAGAGGGGTGAAGAGGAGTTGCAGAATTGATTCAATTGGGAAGATGATGAGTATGGATAAGTTTGGAAGAAGTTGAAAAAATGAAACATTTCAAAAAAATATGGGGAAGATATTTCAAAAAATCTCAATTAAAATATCTAAAAAATTCCAGTCTCGTTTTAATTTATGTTTCTAAACGAGACTTTTGTATCAAATGTCTCATTTTAAAATACTGTGACATAAAACCCACACTTAATGCCCATCCAAAAGACCCCTTAAAACCGGTTTACTTTGAGCACTTTTAATATATTTTAAAGCATTGGTGTTTTAATGAACAAATTGAAGTTGTACCTAAATATAAATGTACAACTCCAAGTTGTACCATAAAGAGACTCGTACAAAAAAGTATAGGTACAACTTGAAGTTGTACTATAATGTTAAAAGTACAACTTCGAGTTATACCATAAAGGCAGAAAACTAAAGCACCAATGCTTTAAAGCATATTAAAATTCCTTTTTTTTTACTTTTCATTTTGTTTTCTGTTCGTTTCCAACTCTGAAAACAGAAAGTGGTAGCTTCCTGCAGTTTTCGAAAATGACAAAATGTTGTTTCCACCAGTTCCAACATCTGTTTTCTCATATTTTCAAACGAAAAGTCTTTTGTCTTCTTATCGATGAGGTGCGATATTTGAATGACATTACTCAAAATTATGTTTTAATAATTTTTTTCGTCCTTTAATTTTTCTCTTTTACATTACTTTTCTCCTTTTATTAGATATAATTTTCATCTTATCGACTATTTGAAACCAAATGAATGAATAACTCATTTCAATTCAAAATGAATTACTATGTGAAAATTCATTTTTAAATGAATTCCTACGTTTGGAATACTATCCCAAATTATGTTTGAAACACATTTATAATTGAATTAAATAAAATCATTTCAAAATGTACGCCAATTCAGTAAGTAACTTAGAACATGATGTGTATCGTGTACCAAGCACATGATGTGTATTAAAATCAATCATTGAAAGCGTGCACTAACTATATGACATGGAGTTCTAAAAGTAACAGCGTTACCATCACTTAACTTATTCAAAATTTACCATTGAAAATGAATTCCTTCGTATTTGAAGTAAAAAAAAGATCATTCCAATTTCAGATTTTAAAGAGATTACAGTTTTCAAATTCACCAAAAATTCTATCTAAACAGGTTTTCAGTATCATATTTTCAGAAATTTGTTTCTCAAACTGAAAGCTTCCTTTTCCCTTGATTCATTTTATGTTGCCAAGACAGAAAAGCAAAATAAAAAGCAGTGTTATTAAAGCCGAGCCGCTCGGCCCGACTGGTAAAACCGCCACCCGGTCACAAAATCGGCTCGAAATAGTATAAAGTCGCTCCAGTTTTATGTAGCGGTTGGCGAGCGGTCGAGGTGGTTAACCGTTCGAGCCGCTCGTCCGGTTTTTGCCACTCAACCACTAAATTTAATTAAAAAAATTGCAGAAAATTGGAAATTGAAATAAACCAAAAACGTCCGGTTCTCTAACCATTTTTAAACGGTCTAATGCCGGTTGGACCACTAAAGTGTGAGTCGTTCGCATTACCGGGTCATGCTCCAGTTCGGTTCTGGCAACATTGATAAAAGTGAACGGGGCCTGATAAACATATCGTAATTGTAGTTTGTAGATGACAGACAAAAATCACAAATGGATCCAGGTCAAACTAATTCGGGTCATATCCGGTGGTGAATGGACATTAAAACGGGTTCGGCATTCCCAGATCAAATTGGGGTAAGGTTACGGGTCGAATAAAATGGAACTCTAGACCCCTCTCAAAGGGGTAAATTGCAAGTTTTGTCACTGAAATTACTAATAAGTTTCACATTTGCCACTAAAATTAGTTTATTCCATTCATGGTCACTAAAATTAGTTCAACAGTTCAAAAATGGTCACTCTCCGTTATTTTAGTGATCATTGATGAAGTAAACTAATTTTAATGACAAATGTAAAATTTTTTAATAATTCCAATGACCAAACTTGCAATTTACTCCTCTAAAGTTTTCCCAACAGTCCAAACTCCAAAGTCCAAACTCCAAACACTACCAGCAGCAGCTCGGACACACTGACGAAAAACGAAAAGTAAAGCCGAAAACCTTCCTTTCTCCATTCTTCTCCAACAATCCTTCGATTCTCAGGTTCCATTTCTCTTTCTCCCAAAAATGTCGACGCTGACAATGGACCCAATTGACCTGGACGACATCGACCTGGACGCCTCCGATTTCAATTCTTCCCTCCCCCTGAAGAAGGTCCCCAACGGCGACGTATTCGAAGCCGCCCGCGCCGGCGACGTCGACCGCCTCCGCTACCACCTCGAGTCCGGAGGGGTCAACGTCAACGCCCGGGACCGGTGGGACTCTGTAGCCCTCTATTATGCCTGCCTCGCCGGCCACCTCGAGGCCGCCCGGATGCTGCTGGAGAGCGGAGCTATTTGCTCCGAGCACACCTTCGATGGCGATAGGTGTCATTACGCCGCCCTGAATTTGAAGGTCAGGAAACTCTTGAAGTCATTCGAGGCTCGTCCGCCGCCTTTGGGTCCTCTGCCTTCTGCGCTGCGGGATGTTTTTCTGAGTTGCGCCGCCAATCGCCGGTATTTGGAGCTCGTTGAGGGTAGCTTCCAAGTTGCAGGTTTGTGCATTCTTTCGTTTTACTTTCTTAGTTGTAAAAGGGTATGGTGGAAATGTGGTGCTTTTGGTTTTTAATTTGAATGGTGCCAGGGAAAGTTGATTTAGGGGTCGTTTGGAAGTTGCGATTGTTAAATAGATGTATTGTTGAGAATGCATGTATAATATTATACATGTATTGTCGAATTTGATGGATTGTAGAATACAACGTTTGGTATGTGTGATTGTGTATGTCGCATAAGCTAAAAGCTGAGACAAAACAATCTCAACTATCTCAACAATCACAACTAAGGGCTTGTTTGGAAGTTGTGATTCTTCAAATTGATGTATTGAGACAATTAGTGTATTATCATTTGATGTATTAGGCAAATATCTTGTTTGGAGGTTTAGATTGTGTTTTTGTTCTAAAGGTAAAAAAGTTAGTTTTGAGTGATTGTGAAGAATCACAACAAAAAGTAGAGATTGTAAATCCCTCAATATTGAGTGATTGTGGTGGGACCTCCAAAAAGTAAATACATGTATTCTAGTTCTATATACGTCAAAAAAACGACTTAATCTCACAAATACATGAATTAGGTCAATACACCATTTGAAATCACAACTTCCAAACGACCCCTAAAAGTTGAGATATAACAATCACTCAAAATGAGTGATAGTTTCTGTCACATCACAGAAACAATCCATGTATTATTTCTGCTAAAAAAAAAACAAAAACAAAAAAACGATGCATTGTGAACAATACATGTATAATGACAATCTTAACAAAACAATCGCAACTTCCAAACGACCCTTAGTTTGCTTTCATGTTTAGTGACTATCATAAAACCGTACAGGAGAGTGGAGTTTGCATTGGAAAAGTCGTGGTTTCGTATTTTATGCTGAAAACATGATTGTATTGTGGTTAACCGTTTCATGCCATTAGAAACGGTATGGTACGGTTTAACAAACATCGCAATCAATTGATTCCAGACTAGTGGTGAAGGTTCCCAATAACTCGAGTTGTTGGGAGAATGTTCGGCTGGATCTTATACCATTCTCTAACACGCCCCCTTAAACGAAAGCCAACTCATGGGCTTGAAGTTTGCACAGGCCCACCATACCTTGTGCATTAATAAACTGTTAATATTGGGGGTCGTGGAGATTCTAGCACATTACCTTTCGGTTCTAAGTTCTGATACCATGTCAAAACCCAGTTGCTCCTAATAACTCGAGTTGTTGGGAGAATGTTCGGCTGGATCTTATACCACTCTCTAACACGCCCCCTCAAACGAAAGCCAACTCATGGGCTTGAAGCTTGCACAGGCCCACCATACCTTGTGCATTAATAAACTGTTAATATTGGGGGTCGTGGAGATTCGAACACATTACCTTTCGGTTCTAAGCTCTGATACCATGTCAAGAACCAGTTGCTCCCAATAACTCAAGTTGTTGGGAGAAGGTTCGGCAGGATCTTATACCACTCTCTAACAAAGGTAACCTATTTCGGACCCAAGGAACCTGTGATATACGTTAGGGAAGCTGCTTTAATCCTCTTTGTGCCTGAATTACTGTATGAAATCTCCTATAATGTCATGGCTTATGAGTCATACCACAGTTTCTGCCTTCATGGACTCGTGGTTTTGTTCACTTTTGTTATTGCTGATAATTTATTGTTAAGCATTTCTTGACACTTAGCATGTGGCTTTATTGTGGGTAGGTGTTTCATTTGGTGGTGCACCCAATTCCAACCACTTCCCTCCTGATGTGGTGTTTTTTGTGCAAGGTAGGCCCGTCGAGGCTCACAGAGTCGTACTAAGCGCTCGGTCCCCATACTTCAAGAGGAAGTTTCAAACTGATTGGAGGGACCGAGTGGAAGTAAGGTTCTCGAGGGAAAAGCTGTCTTACCCTGCTCTGTTCTGCCTCATTCAGTTCTTCTATTCAGACAGACTGGAAGTAGCTGTCGAAGACATGGAAAGCCTTGTGAGAATCTGTAAAGTGTGCAAATGCGAGTCATTACAGAGAGTTCTCGAGAATGAACTCGTCCACCAGAAGTTTGCTGAGTACAAAGCACTGAGAGATGTGGACGACTCTCAAAAGCGGTTTATCTTACAAGGCCTTTCATTACCTGAGGAAGACCGGCTTCCTGCTGCATTGCATAGGGTTCTTCAGACTTCACTGTCCAAGTCAACTTTGGAAGGAAGCCTTGATAGGGTAGACTCTTCATTTGGTGCAAAAGGGACAAGTGATTGTGTCGATGATGATCTGGCTGATGTTTGTATTAGAGTTGATAAGAAGATTTTCCGTTGCCATCAAGTGGTTTTAGCAGCAAGGTCCGAGTATTTTAGAGCAAGATTGTCTCGTATGAAGGACTTCGATGAGGGGAAGAATGGGATGCCGGAGAATGGTCTTCCGTGCCTTGAAGAACGTGATTTGAGCATGGAGGCATTCGAGAAGATGCTCGAGTACATGTATGTTCATTTAGCAAATATTTCTTCAATAATCAGCATATTTATTGATGTTATTGGGCCATAACTTTAGTTGTTTTGTCGTTCAGGTACGCTGATGCTTTAACTGATATAGATCCAGATCAGGTATTTGATTTCGTGTTTATTATCGGATGTAAGCAAATACATTTCCTTGAAATTTTCACTTCTGTGGCTTTGGACAGGTTGAGGAAATGTTCGATGCTGCTTCTAGGTATTTGTTATTTCCTCTCAAGCGTGCTGTTGCAGATGTATTGCTGCCACATCTCGAAACAGTCTCACCTGCTGAACTCTGCCATTGGTTGATACTGTCAGACATGTAAGTTTTTCTTGGTTAATGAAACTACCAATAACAATCTTGAGATTTAGAGTCGTTTAGATGTAGGGATTTGAAATGTGATGGATTGTGCAAAATCTATGGATGTGAAAAGTAATATACATATTAATATCTGTGGACTTTTAAATAGTTATGTTTGTAAGTGTGATTTCAGTAGTGGAATGTGATCTTTAAATTAATTTTGATCTTAATACCGTCATGGAATAGTTGAGGAGGGCTTGTTGGAGGGCGCTTTGGAATTAGCCAAGAAGGATGAGGGTTAAATAGACGAACATTATGCATAGATCTGACAAACCCTTATTTATGGGTGGGTTCTGAAATTCTTGTAGCTCATGGATTTGATCCCCCTTAAGAATTTCTAACTCCATGGACTCAGTACCCTTTCTTCTATACTGCACTACTGTTTTGGATGAAACCTTCTACTCACGGATATTGTGCTGAAATCCATTATCCAAATCCTGCATCCATAAAGCTTCATTAGTCCAGTCACGCAGAGTTGTTTTGTTTAATTGGTTGCCTCAAAATGGTCCAGGTATGGCGTGCTGAAGATTCGCGAGTATTGCTTGGATGTGATTGCTTGTGATTTCGAGACGTTTGCTGATGCACGAGAGTTCCGAGCAATGCTCTTAACCCTGCCGCCACCATCTGGAGACTCGTCCCTCCGGACAACTGCTCCAAGCGCTCCTGGAGCTGATATGAACACAGACCAAGCTAACCTCCTGGATGATCTGCGAGAGAAATGGCTGGAAGCTGAGGCTGCGGAGCTTGACAAGCGAGATGAAAGTGCTCTGTTGTTCGACAAACGGTTGGAGATTCTTATGCTTGTTGCAGAGAAAGAACATTCTGATGGACCCAGCCTTGATTGGATAAAGAGAGATCCAGAAAATAAGGCTTGAGATTTTCAGATATCCACACGCTCATATGATGAATTGTTCTTGTATTATGTCAAGTAACTATTGACAGGTTGAATAATATAGAATGTAGGCTTTATATGTATAATATGCCTCTTTATTCTACACTAGTTTTTTGGCCGCGCTTCGTCGTGGTAAGAAACTAATTATATTTAAAACTTCCCCTACTTATTTAGTGATTAGTTAAAATTAATTAATTGACAAAATAGTTTGTTTATTTATTTAATTCATAAGAAATAATTATCCATTCATAAGTTTTACGTAATGTATAGTAATTTATGGCTATTATTATAAAACACTGTTACGTAAAACATTCGTAATGTGTGATCTAATAAAAAATTAAATAATAAAAAAATCAAATTTGATTAAACTATTATGTAAAAGTTAACTTACGTTATAGAACCTTTATATAATGCCAATTGATGAGATGATGAATATTATAGTGAATAATAAATAAATTTAATTGTAACATAATTAAATTATGAAAAGTATCACATTTGATAAAATGGTATGTAAAGAATCAATGGCCTTAAAAACAATTGTGCAATGTTAGTTGATGGTCAACAGTTTATTAATAATAAAGGAATATTAATAATAAAGAAATATTCGTTCAAACTTATATTATAAAAGACATATTAAGACTTAGGTAATATGTTTGTTTAATTAACATCAAGAGGTTGGTCTATTGATAATGTGGGGTTGAACATCCACCAAACCTTAGGTTCGAATCGTGAGGCAAACAACAAAGAAAAATATTTATTTAATTGATACATAAGAATCACTATTCCTACATAAAATTTTAATTAAGTATAAAAGAGTTAAGTAATGTATTTTTTAATTAATATATAAGAAATAACTAACTCCATAACTTTTATATGCTATAATTGTAACTAATATAGAACAATTACTCCTTTCTTTCTCTTCTTTCTTCTTTATTTACAGGGCCTTCTTGAATCGATTCGGAACTTCTGAAACCATAACAACTCTTTTTTTCATTAGTATATGGTCTAACAATAAAATCAAGCTATAGAAAATATTACAATTGATTAATTATTATCTAAAAGTTATACATGAGATTTTTTCTCAATGTAAATTGATGAGAGGGTGAATATTGTAGTTGATATCAAATAAATTAGGGTAATGACTATTTATTAGCTAAATCTTTTTTCATATTCTTTTTTATTATCCAAACCTATTGAAATGCTATTAATTAGCCAATGATAACTCTATGTTAACTTTTTCGTTTGATGATGGTGATTTGTCAAACTTGGCGCTAAGTTGGAAAGAATATTCTGATGTGGCAGTAAAGATCACATCAGCTAGTCAACCATTGATCATTTTTTCCGTATTTTTTTATTAGCCAAACCTATTGACTTACTAATAAAATAGCCAAATGTTAACTTCCAGTTACAATTTTGTTAGTAAAGACTTGGCAACATGATACTGACTTGGAAGAGACACATGAAGATCAACATTCCAAAATTTTAGTATTATAACTAAGAAAAGAGTTAGAAAATTATTAACGATAAAGGAAAAATGACTAATCTTTTGATGCATTATAAAATTTTTGGCCAATTATATTATTAGTAATTCAATTGGTTTGGCTAATAGAAAAGAATGCGAGAAAAATTTGGCTAATAATTAGTGTTTACCCATTTTTAGTTTATTCATTGATGAGCTGGCAGCTGAGCTGGACGCTGAGGTGGAGCACCATTAAGAAATAGTTCATGATAATAGACTAATGGCTATTACTTTGACGTGTTACAAAACATTTGATTAATTCTTTGTATTTTGATAGTTAAGAAGAATCCGAAAAAGATTTGGCTAATAAATATTCATTACTCAATGAATTAAGTTATACAAAATATCACATTTGATTAAACTATTATATAAAACTAACTGACTTTACGACTTCATCTGTATATTTTTCAAAAGTTTACTATTATTGTCACAAAATCCATCCTTATAGCTATCGTGCTTATTCCCTAACAAATTATTATAAAATCTAAATATGAAAATTAACTTGAATTCAGGTTGATGTTAAATTGGTGGGTATAGTAGCTTACCTCATTGGTTACTTCTTGTAAAAGAGACAAAACAATTAAAGTTTGAAAATGTTCCCTCTGCCGTAGCTAGGGATCTCGGTGGTAGCTTGGCTAGCCGCCAGAGCCCTCCACAGGAACTAAGCTAGACATAGGGCTGCAAACGAGCCGAGCTGAGCCGAGCTTTTGCCCAGCTCGGGCTCGAACTCGAGAGAGGATAACTCAGCTCGGGCTCGGCTCAAACTCGATACGAGCTATACAATTCAAGCTCAAGCTCGGCTCGAAAGGAAAAATTTGAGCTCGGGCTCGACTCGAGCTCGACTCGATTCTAGCTCGCAAATGAGCTCAACAAGCCAAAATCAGCGAGCCAAAATCCTTTGAACCTTTTGATCAAAGCTCGGCTTGACCAAACCTGAAAGTTTCTCTAGTTTTAACAAAATATATAATCATTCACACATTTAATATCAAATTACAACCTGTTTGATTACAACCATGATTGATTACTTAATAGGGTCTTCAAAATAACATGTTACCGTCTCCTGTGAAGTTACAATCATGGAAATGACTAACAACTAGACCCAAAACATAGATACGAAGGGTTTCTTAAAGACCACCAAGAAAAACAAGATAAGCAAAAGACATCTTGAAGGCAACGACACATGTTGCAGCCTGCATGTAATTTCTTCGTGCAAATGACCACCTGAATAAAAGAAAGTAATAGAGAACATTATAATCAAAGCAAAAATAAGATAACAAACAATTACACATTAAGTGCAACAAAGTTGCAGTGAGCCTCGCCCCATACCCATTTTAGGCTTAAGCTGGAAAAAAAAACAATTATTCAACCCACAAAAAGATAAAGGACAACTATTATGAGAGACAGAGGAAAGACATGAATTTTTTATTACGCTGTTCTTATTACAGCCCCAAATAATTAATACTTTTCTTACTACACTACATCATAGCAAGAAGAGAGAGGTAGAAGAGAAAGCAAGGACTAAAGAATTCGACAAAGGTTAGCACAGAAAAGGAACAACGAGAGAAACTAACCAAAACACCTTCATTAAGACAAGTCAACTTCAACAACTTCCTCTTTCTTGGTCAGAGCCTACAAAGATACAAAAAAGATAAATTTATACCAAATAAACTATAAGAATAAATTGGAAATTAAAAAATATAGTAAAAAGTACCTTAACACTCTTTTTCAAACCATAATAGTTTCTTAACCGATCTTGAGAACAAAGTAGAGCTTGAACAGTTTTTTTCCCCAATGATGCACGATTTGGATCAATCACTCTTCCCCCGACACTAAAAGCAGCTTCCGAGGCAACCGAGGTTATAGGAATTGCCAAAACATCACAAGCCATCCTTGACAAGACCTTATACCTCATACGTTGCTCCTTCCACCACTCAATAACATTAAGGTCGCAATCATCCGGATCAATGTGACCATCCTCCAAATAAATATCCTTCCATTCAACGATAACTAATTCAACTTCAAATCATAGCAACAGTCCATTTTAAAAAAGTCATACCAACAGTTCATTTAGAAAAGCAAAGTCAGAGCAACAACTACAATATGTGATGATGTGTGTAGTGTAACTCAAAGACAATAAATCGCCTATGTGGATATTGTATCATTAATTCATATAATTAAAGAGTAATTTGTATTTAATCAATCTATAATTTATTTATTTATATTACAAAATATATGCAACAACTATTTGGCCACCGCGTATACAAAATATCAAGCCACATTAAATTGAGATATATGTAGTCCAAGTGTCTAACCAACCTATGAGTTAAATGACTAGTAGTAGGCCAACATAGGAGCTCTGTACAAAGCAGCTTATCGAATTTCCTTGCGAGTCACACAGTCAAGTTGACTAGTGAACTTAAATTGACTCGTCAGCCACATTAGCAAGAGAGCTACCTTGTGTGAGCTAACACGCGAGTCACACTATCGAGTCAGCTTGCGAGCTTCAAACGAGTCAGCTCGCGAGCTTAGCTCAACGAGCATCGATCCGAGCTAGCTTGCGAGCCTGCTCGAGTTGCAGATGCCTTGGCTCGTGTTTGGCTCGTTAATAAATGAGCCGGCTCACGAGCCAGCTCATTAAGAATCGAGCCGAGTGTCGAACGAGTTTTTATCGAACTGAGCCTCGAGTTGCTCGCGAGTAGCTTGGCTCGTTTGCAGCCCTAGCTAGACACAACCACATAATACCATTCCTTAATGAACAGTGCTTTCTGTAATCAATTGGGTTCTTTTACAATTCCTTAATTAACAGTGTTTTATCTAATTAATTGGGCTATGCGGTTTTTTCGTAAGGAACAGTAATTAAGCATTCGGTAACTTGAGTTTTAAGAATTCTAATTTTTCTCATACATGTCCCTTTATTTTGAATTACAATTAATTCTACCCTTGTATGGTTAAACATTGTTTAAATCTACCTCTCTTTTAGTATTTCCGTCCCAGAACTATTAAACCCAATCAAATCGAAATCAGTCAGTATAATGTATTGGAAATGGAAGACTAAAAGACAAATATACCCCCTTAGTTTCATTTCATCGTCCCCCAACAGGAGCAACCTCGACATCAATCCCTCCAGTAATTTTGTTTTTTCTCGGCTGCTGATTGATGTCGCGACCTCCAACTCCTTGTCGATCCTCTGAGCCTCTCTCTATCTTTCTGATTCTCGACCATTCCCTAATTCGCGGCCTTCCCTGCACCCATAACCTGTTACGCGACCTCTTATCGTAAGACTACACACCTTGATTAATAATCGACCCCTCCCTCTATGTCTTTTGTCAATTCCCAAAGCCTAAATTCCTTATTTCCGAATTTGATACATACAAAATGAAATGAAATTATGAATGTGTCCGACATCATATTATTATTTCTTACACCATAAAAGAAGGGTTTGGTGGTGGGTGCTCTCACCTTCTAATTTTTGGAAGGGAAGATTTGAAATATCCTCAACTAGGGGAAACTTGAGTGATGGCGGCCTCAATCATACTATATTGTCTTAGGGATTGGGGTTGCTGAAAGGTCTATAATTGGGAAGATAGACTTCGATATCAACGATGACAGTGAGGTGGTGGCGTCAGCAGGGGAAA